GGACCCACACAGAGAGAGAGAGAGAGCAGAGAGGGGATGAAAGTCACCATCTTTCCTTCCTTTGCCTCGCAACAATTTGCTTCTGCAACTTTCTTTTGCAAGCAATCATACAAGATGGGTTGTGCACACTGCATAGCATCGATGATTAACTTTTGACTTCGCCTCTCTCCACTTCGCGTCAGCAAATTGTATTTTGCAGGAGTCGTAGTACACCGATATGAGTGATGCGGGCACATACTTCCATCTTGGATACAGTGGGGATACACCTTATTCCTTCAATCCCTATCCCTATCCCGGAAGTAAGATGCATATGCACTAATGATCGTACCTTCAGTGAATACAGCTTTGGGTCTCATCCCACATTGCGGGTGTGAGAGCACGAGAGGGAGAAGCGAAGAGAAAGAGAGTGCGGAGGAGAGAAAGAGAGGCAGAACTGAGGTTCAGCAAAGAGGGGTTGATGTTGTTCATTTTAAGAGAGAAGCAGTACATGTGTGTGTCTGTGCGTGAGTTAGGATTATGTACGTGTGTGTGCTAACGCGTATTCGTGTGTATTCTTGCATGTGTCTACATGCGTGAGTGCCTCTGTGAACTTGCATGCATCGGTCCGGCAGAGATGAATGTGGCATTGTGCAGCGGTCGTGAGTGTGTGAATGCGTGAACTTCCGCGCATTGGTCCGCCAGAGATAAATGCATCCCGCCACCAGAAAGCCTTCGCAGTTTAGCAAATCCCTAGAGCCCCTTCAACCAGGCAAGATGATTTCTGGCCACACATTACAAAAGATCGGGTGGTTTTCTTTGGCCCCTGGGCCTCCTTCAACAATCCCTGAACTGAGGGTTATATTGGACCCAGATTCATAATCCAATAGGTCCGAGAGTAGGCCAAAACAATGAAACCATCTGGCTATTCCTTTGTTTAGGCCTGGCCCTCATGACGTGCTTCTCTGTTCTTTGTCGGAGAGCAGTAAAGACGTCGCCGTCCGATCTCGAACTGACATCCGAGGGAGAGGCATCTCAATCAAAACATATCGAACAACCTGCCCATGGATGGTGAACGGAGAATTCACAGCAAAACCAAGCAGCTCGCAACCTAGACCGCCAAGATCACAGGAATGAATCAGGGAGCTGAAACTTAGCAGCGGGCAACTGCGGCAAGCAAGTTTTAGAAGACAGACACAGAGACTGCGAGACAGAGAGAGACAAAAAAGACACAGAGATGGCTGGAAAAAGACAAAGAGGGACAGAAAGGCAACGCGAGATAGAAAGAGATGGAGAGAAAGGGAGAGAGGCAGAGAGAGCATGTGAATTGACAGTAAATCATGTGAATTGACAGTAAATCATCGAACAGGTGAAGAAACCTGCTTGATGTTCGCCCAACCCCTCTTTTCTTGGCGTTAGCAGCTGCCACAGATCCTCTAGGCAAAAAATAATGCACCCATCACACATGAGTAACAATCATCACGCCCAACCCTTCTTTTTTTATTGGCAATAAAAGCTGCCACAGATCCTCTAGACAAAACTGATAAAACACAGATTGAGGTCAGTCAGCAGTAGGCATTCCAACATAGAAAAGTTCATTCAGGCCAACCTTCACTTCTTCAGATGATATCCTGTGAAGTTTCATATCAAATGCCACAACCGGTGTTACCCCGTTGCAACGATGCAGTTAATTGAGTTCCTGCCAATGCGACATACCATGTCGAACTTGAGCATTTCTCCGTATGCAACTCCTAGATTATACATGGCATCTGGATAATGCGAGTTGAAGACCAGCGCCCGTTTGTACAACGAAACACCCTCCTGTAGGTTCCCCTCCATCTTCACCTGCATTCAACATTAATCGCAGCACATCAGAAACCTACAAATCCATTGCCAATCCACCAAGGCATTTTCAGTGTCTAACTCTCCTTCGCATTAAATTGCATGCAACACCAAAATTTGATATAATACAAAGCAGAAAACCTTGCCATGTCCACAGACGAAACTTCAAGGTGAATCAGAAGCGCTGCCACAAATAAAGGAATGGAAATCCACAAAGCACAAGCTAATTACTTCTGCCATATAATCCATGAACAGGCCACTTCTTACAATCAATTTGCAACATCAGCAGCAGGTTGACCGAAACCTGGATCATTTCCACAATCCCTCCTGAAAATAACAAGGCCCTGCTTGTTTACAACGGAATCGTCCAATTCTCACTTACAACTGCATCGTCAGATTAGTTCTCTTGATTTTTCCACCTGGGCTCCTCATAGATGACATGCACTTTGAACAAAGCATATAACCCAGCATGTTGCAGTTCAAAATCATGCTGAAAGGTGAAGAGGAACACGTTGATCGGATTGGCACTGCCACGGAAAAATTGTTTCCCTGCTCTGTTAGAATTCTTTTGAACAAAAAAAAAAAAAAAAAAAAAAAAGAATTCTGAACACAGAATTAGGCAACTTAAATCTACTCCAAAGATAGCAGACGACCGGTTTGCAGAATCACGGGTTTGAAGGCACATGATGGAAACGATAAGATAGGCACTCGTTTTGGAGGTCTGGTGAGCGATTCCTAGCAATTGGTCCCGTTACGTTCCCCAATGTGCATTTCTCTCAGTGTACACTAAACGGTCTTCGCATTTGGGAATGCGAAAAGGATCTTATTTCGATGTCATTGGATTCAATGCAATTGTCATAAACACCACAAGAACTCAGGTGTCTCCACAATCTTTTCCTCGGATTACTTTTTACTCCCACATGCATAGAGGTAGGTAGAGCTAAACGGTGGAAGGGGCATAGCTGGAGTGGCAGAATTACCTTCGTCCCAAGATCTGTCAGTGCTATCGCCATGTTGTTTCGAGCAATTGTGAAATTTGGGGCAACTGCCAAGCACCTGAAAAACCACCACCAATCAGAGGAAAGCTGCAAGTCTCAATTGTGGAGTCAATCTCACAAGCAAAGCAGGATTCCCTGGCTTCTATTTTGCTTTGATGGCATTGCCACTTTGGACACTGGAACAGAACAAACAGCAAAATCTATAGTTTCAACAACAACTCGAAGAAGAAAAACAGGACAACCATAGAAAAGGATACGTCCAGTTCATCTGACGGCCACGATCCATCCACAGTCCACGAAAGAGATTCCATGGCGCCAGAACACAGCAGCAAAGCAAATAAGTGTAGTGGCTAGTAGTATCGCGCCTAAGTTGTCCCCGTGACCACAGTAATAAAAAGGTGACTGGAGATCATCGACCAGAACATACACCCAAGAAGGAGACAGTGGAGAGCCATCTTCATGTCTGTATCAGAGGCAGTTGAGAGTCATCTTCGTTTGAATGCACGATTGACACAGAGCCGTCTTTTTTAAGGGGGAAGGCCATGAGATGTCATCATTGAGCCATCAAAGGCTCGAGTACAATCATCAGGAGGGCTGCACCGCCAGGCTTCCCGCCGGTGTCAGGCGGCCACAAGTAGTGCGCCGCCTGAAAATGGCGGTTTTGGGACTTAGGCTCAAGGGCGAGTCCGTGTTTTTACGGTACTTTGGTCTGACCGGGCAGCAGAAATTATGAGAACTCAGGGTGCCCCTGATTTTGGGCGCACTGGTTTTTAAGAGTAACCCTCAAAGATGGCGAGATGGATGGCCACACCCGACGCATCTAGGGACTGTCAATTCTGGCCGTCCAGAGGGTTAGATCCGGATTGGCCTGCCGCGGAGAGGGATCGAGGAAACTGACCTCGCCGCAACAATTTGGCGGCAGACGACCGGGGCCGAAATGAGGCCTCAGATTTTTGTCTATTCTAGTACCATAATTAAAAAAAAAAAAAAAAAGATTAAGACCAGAAGAGGAGCAGAGAAAAACACAATATTCCTTATTTTCTTCATTTTTCACTACATTTAATCTTAGGGGGAATTCCCTTTTTACTTTATGTTTCCGGCAATGAAATTAAAAACATAGAAAAAGATTAAAAAAATGGTAAAAGGGAAAAGAAACAAAACGAAATCGGTTATTTATTTAAATTTTCTTGGAATTTAATTTTGGCGGACTTACGATCAATTTATTATTTCCAACGGCAGAATTAAGG